GATATCAAACCGGCCATCCGTCTGTGCGTGTTAGACCAGACAGGGACCGGCTGGCTGGTGTCCGAGCGTCACTTAGGCAGAGTGCATAAGTGATGCGCTTCGCACCCAGGTCAATGAGTGGTGCTCGCCGCAGCGATCACCGTTTATCCGTTCTGGAAGCGCTCGGCTGGCCGTAGCGTCGTCAGATCTTGTACAGCACCGGGACTGCCTGAAAGTGTGCAGGGCACCGCACGCCCCCGAATCCGCGCGGGAACCGGCTACCTGCGGCGGCCCGCCCCCCCCCCCCTCGCGTCGGGCGTTCTTGGTTGTTTTTAAACAGCTTACTCATCGACTGAAACTGCTTCCCACCTGCGCGCATGTGTGTATCTCTGTGCACTGTGCGTGATTTTTCTTGTGCGACAAGGTGCACAACAACCACCACGTGGACGAGGCTGCAGTGAGATGAAGGTAAATATCAATTGTAAATGGCTGTGGGCACTTTCAATGGCCAGGGCTTAAAGCAAATGCTCCACTGTTGAAGATTTGGAGGCAGTGCAAATGGCTGCTCTAGAAAACAAAATTTCCGTATTGAATAAACATGTCCCCCAGCACGTCACCTTTTTAATAACGCCACGGAACCTTTTATGACGCCAGAGTCACTGCCGGACTGACTGTGATAGAGTTGTCATTGTAGCGCATGGCTAACTCTTTGTAGTAGTTCATCTCGCTATAAGGTGACTTGCTTATTTAGGCGTGTTATATAACCCAACTTCGAAATGTGCGCGTGTTTCGACTCCGTCATGGTGATTTTTAGACGTTTTCGTGTGATAATACTTTTTTTTACTTGCATTTGCAATCCCCTCATTTTTGGATACGACGTTATTCTTAAGTCATCTGATTCCCGGCACGTTCCATACAAGTCACGATTTTTAACTTTCCGTTCACATGTACGACGCTTTGTCAACATTTGTGCCAACGAGTATGATTTCTGGACTTCTTAACGTGAGTGGGGTGTATTTGGAAAAGCCCCGCGAAAAGGATCGCGCGCGACGGAATAAGATGGACAAAAAATGACGCCACAGGAAGGGATATCTGCTTTCGATCCCATGCCGATCAAAACAGCCCAGCCCCAGGCCATATTGGTTTCATTCGTACGAACCTTGTGTAAGCCATCTGATCTCCGTTCTCTGTCAACCACTGACGGCGGCAGCGGTTGGTGGAAGGTGGTCGGTGCTGATCATGGCATTCTTGATCAATGACGTCGGTTTTACGCAGCGCGCGATGGAAAAAATGGGAGAAAAGTTATCCTCAGAGTCAGAAATTGGGATATTTCACGCCTTAAAGAGGTTTGACAATGCGTTCTTGTGTGGCACACTCCGGCCAACTCATCCCAAAAGGCAAACGTGAAAAGTTTTCTTTACAATAACGGATTTGACAACGAGATGGAAGAAATGATAAATAATAATGGATGTTGCTGAACGCCACACAGAGTCTAGCAGCACAGTTTTTAAGATGGCAGCAGGCATTTGTTTCGTTGTGTGTACTTAATCACGACTTTAACAACTCCAATCTCTTCAAATCAGACAGCTAAGCATGACAGACGGCCTAGCGACCAATGGCTCGGCTAAACGTCAATGTATGCATACAGGTCAAGGTGACGACCGGGTCAGCGACGGTCAGTTCTTCACCGTTATCCTAGCCAAAGCCCCCTGCAGTTCAAAACCTCAAGCAAACTCTGATCGTGAAACGGAATCAGTCATCACAGAAAGCCTTCTGAAGTCAATGATATCTAGAACGGTACAAGGTCGTGGCTAAATAGAGCGAAATTTAGATGTCAGGAATCGCACAGATGAGGTTTGAGCAATCGCACTTCATCGCCCAACTCATGTTGATCGCCGAAACAGTGAGCGGACGATCGTTCCACTTGGACTGCGCGAAGCGGCTGCGGGCCGGTGGCCGCCACTCACCCACAGGCGTATCGAAGGCCGTTCTGATGGCTGCGCCGTCTGCGTCGGTCCCGGACCGCTCCATGGCCCCGTCTGCGCCGGTCTCGGGCCGCTCCATGGCCCCGTCTGCGCCGGTCTCGGACCGCTCCATGGCCCCGTCTGCACCAGTCCCGGGCCGCTCAATGGCCCCGTCTGCGCCGGTCTCGGGCCGCTCCATGGCCCTGTCTGCACCAGTCCCGGGCCGCTCCATGTCCGGTCCGGTGTAAGGCCCGGCCACGTCTGTGTGTATGTGTGTGGCATGTGTATGCCGGCCGGAGCCGGTCGCCGCGAGGTGGCGCCCCCCGCCAGGCGACCAGTGGGGGCGGGAAAGCACCCCGCCCGCCGCCTGTCCGGGGGGCCTGCCCACCTATCGCTGATGTGGAGATGTATTTGCTTCTAACGAGTTTAAATGTGCTCGGGCGGCGCGGCCTGACCGCGCCGGTCGGTGGGAGGGCGTGCGGTCGACACGCATGTGGATGCCGGTCAGGGGTCCCGGGAGGTGCACAACACAAACACCGCTGACCGGACCGCGGCCAGGAGTTAGGGCGGCACCACCGGGGGGGGGGGGGGGGGGGGGGGGGGGGCGCCACCAGTCATTGATGTGGAGGACGAGGTTGTAAAACCATCACGACACATCATGACGCTGTCCTGCAACGCGCCTTGATACCAAACGTGTTTAGGTGCGCGGTGAGCAGAAAAGGTACGCATTTTTTTCCTGTGGACTCTGGAGACCGGCCTGACGGGGCCCGCGGCACGGGGTCCCTGTCTCATTAGCACTACTGATGTGTTGGTGTGTTGATGAGGCATCGGAAGTAAGCGTGAGCATATGCGTGCGCGCGGGTGTGTGCGCGTACTTGTGGGTGTGCGTGTGAAAATGGAGGGAGAGAGAGAGAGAGAGAGAGAGAGAGAG